TACCAAAAAATTGATGATTAAAAATGAAATTATGAGCAGAGATAACAATATATTCAAGGTAATAATAATATTTTTGATGTATCAAAATATCAACTTGACCAAGACCAACTCGTATAGTTTTTTTTTTTATTAACCTGGATAACCAACCCGCTATGCAAGCCGACTAATCCGAGAGCGACCACCTGCTTTGCAGACAGCCCGGAGTCACCGCATTTGAATCTTCATGGCCACAAGTGGATTTTTATTCCCCCTTGGATTTGAACCTGGAACCTCCAGGTACTTTTGACATTTGAAGCCAAACTCAAACCAATTAGGCACCACCCTTGTGGTTGACCAACCCGTATAGTTTAGGTTGGTTTGGGTTGCATTTTGGTTTGTGTTGAAATCTTTCAAACCGCAAACACTAGGTTGGATCGTTGAAATACCTCCAGCTGAATCACCCCAACTCATGAGTACCTCTATTGCAAAAAAAATATAAAATTTTAGGGATTTTGGACATGTTTTTTGCTCCAACAGATTCTCCAAAATATAGAAAGTATGAGAGAGAGTGTAAAAATCTCCAAATTTGAAGAACTCCCAGAAAATGATTACAACGAGCGAGAAATATTATTTAGTATATTTCCACCAATTAGAAATTTTAAAAATAAATATCGAAAGAGGGAAATAATATTTTATTAGATGAAAAGAATATATTTTAATAATATAATCAACGTTGTAATCTTTAAAATCAGAGAATCTGTTGGAATTAATTACATTTTTACTTATATATATATATAAGCAAAAACACTGTAAATTTTATTTTTACAACATTTTGCTGTAAAGTTTTAAATGTAAAAAAAAATGATCTCATAATTCTCACGAAAACAGACTGATCTCACGTGAATCCAACCGTATATCTATATTATCTTATTAAGCAAATTTAACAAAAGTCTTAAAATTCTAAATGACCAAGATACCCTTTATACTACTTTTTCACTTTTTCACCTTCTCTTCTCCTCACATACACTCACCCTCTCACAACAACGGATTTTTTTAAAATGATAATTTTATATTTACATTTTATACTCTTATAATTAGTTAATTAATTTACTTTACGTCCTTTACTTTTAAATATTTCATTTTAAACTTTTATCAAATTAACATACATAATCGTATATCAATTAAAACATGTTTAAAAAATACATTTTTATTTTAACAAATTATACCATTATAATCGTCTCGTTAATACCTTCGAAATGAGTCCAATATTGAATAGTTTTTTACTTAATTATATTATTATATATTATATATACTGTGAAAAAATATTTTTAATATTTATGATTTATACTTTTATAGTTATTTATTTATATATATACTATATATTTTGGGGTTAGGCTGTTCAAATTGCACTGTATAATATGTTCTTAATTAATATGTTCTTGGGTTTTTTTGAAATATATATATATATACATGTCTTAATTCAAACTTAATCTAAGTTTTTGGACAAGAAAGCGGGTAAGCAGTTGAAATTTCATTCTAAAACCAATCTTTTTTGGTCTTTTCATGGCTTATGATATGTCAAATTTGTAGTTTTCTTTATTGGTTTTGAGTATTTATCTTAAAACTCAAGTTTTTTGGTTCTTTGCTCTTGGTGTAAATCGAACACATTTGTGGAGTCGTTTAAATATGTTAGATTTTTTATATATATTGAATTTTAAACTATCATACAATTTTTTTCATCGATAGTCTGTAATTGGAACCATAACTCTTATTTATTCAAATTATATTAATATGTAAAGACCAAGTGTAACATATATCATCGTTAAATCTTATCTTATAAAATCAGTGGAACTTCAAAATATTAAAATTCATAGCTTTCGTCGCATTGCGTAGATATACAACTAGTATATATATATATATATATGTATTTTTTTTAAAGTGAAAGATGAAGAATTGTGGGGCAGATGAGAAGTTAGAGTGGGTCCGAAAGAGGAGTAATAAAAGGACCTGCTTTTTGTAATAAAAATCATAGGCTGCCGATGCGTTTTCGATCTGTGATTGGCTACTTCTCTTTCTATTATCGTACTACCGGTGTTGACACCTTTTTTGCTTGGTCCCTCCCTCCCTTGTACGGACAACATCCCCTCCTTAAATACCATTTCTTTTTTTTATTTTCTTTTTTTTTTATTTCTAAAATAAGTGTCTCAATTTCATCAACTCTTCAACCTATAGAAAAATCAAAATGTAAAAAGAAAGTTTCTAAACCAGGTACAAAAGTGAAGGGACCAAATCTGTAAATTAGATACAGTCCTGCACCGAAGGTGTTGAGACTAATTTATAGATTTGGTTCATGTACTTGCAGACCTGGTTTAAGAATTTTTTTTTTTTACTTTTTGATTCTTCTGCAAGTTAAGAAGTTGACATTTGTGGAGGTAGTGACATTTTTTGAAATATTGATAATAAAATGACTAAGAAATGAAACCAAAGTCTGAAAATAATTATTTTAATTAATTTCCCAAATAAGGGGGCTGTTTGGCAATTGCTGAATGGTTTGGTGCAGAATGATTAAGAGGCTTTAATGATATAATGCAAAATAAAATATAATTGTTTTGGTGATTGTGTACGATAAAATTAGGGCTCTTAATGGTTAAGGGGGATTTAGGATACAAAATCATTCAGAGGGTTTTAGAACCATTAAGAGGCAGACTTTTTTTTTTTGCCAAACAAGATTCACCTCTTAACGATTCAGAAATTACCTCTTAATGGAACTATTAAGAGGAAAACAAATAACCCCTAAGTATCTATAGTATTTTTTTTTAATTATATAATTAATTACAAGGGTCACAATTTTGTATCAAACTAAATCAACAAACTTGGTTGGTACCGGTTAGTAGTACCCAATAAAGTATACAAACATAGTTAGTGTATGGTATTGAAAGTTACATACTACGGTAGTACAATAATGCCTACTTATTTAATTATTTTTTTTATATTTTTATGTATTAAATATTGTAACTTTAACTATTTTGTTTGGATATCTGAATATTTGGAATTTTTTTCTTGCAATTTAAAAAAAATTAAACACTACAATTTTTATACATGTAACTTGAAGTATGCACAAAATCAGTACCAACCGAGAAGTTTGGTACCAAGTACAATCGGTTGATACACAGTATAAGATTTTGTGTTTGCAAATTGTAATTGGTTGATACGTAGTATTTAAGAGAAAAAAAAAACTTGGTACCGTACCAAATTCATCCCTAAGTGGTTGTTTGTTTACCTCTTAATAGTTTTATTAAGAAGCAGCATCTGAATCGCTAAGAGGTGAATCTTGTTTGGTAAAAAAAAGATCTGTCTCTTAATGGTTCTAAAAACCATCTGAATGATTTTGTATCATGGGCCTCCGTTAACCATTCAGCATCCAAATTCTATTGTAAACAATTATCAATCAATTATATTTCATTTTGCATTATATCATAAGAATATCTTCTATCATTTTAACCACTTGATCATTTTGCACCAAATCATTCAGCAACTGCCAAACAAACCCTAGTTAATTATGAGATGAAGAAATTTATCATTCACTCCAATTATTAAAGGTGAAACTGTCATTCAGTTAATTATTTATGTACAAATCATTATCTTTCTGAATATTTTTCTTTTAAAAATTGAATATTCTACAGCACAATATGCATTAATATTTTCAAACTATTGACTTTTAACTGGTCTTCTAAAAAACAGTTGATTTAAATAGAAATCCAACTGAATATGTTCTACAAGGGTATAATTCATGAACCGTATTTTTTACGCTTAATAAAAGATAATCAAGCATCAAAATATAAGATCGGGTTTGATACTGATGTATATGAACGTAAAATTAATAAAGAGGTTTTATTTCTAGAAAAACCTATAAAAGTTTAGATTTATTAAATTATATTATTAAATTAAATATTATATTATATTATATTATATTATATTATATTATAGGATAAAAAGTCAAGATTTTGATGCATAAAAATATTTACAAGTATGCTTTTTCTCCCCTCTTATTTTTCATATGTGGGAATGTACCAAACTTTCTTCTTTTGGGTGTGAATTATGTATTTACCCCAATTAGCAATGGAGCATGTTCTCCTACCACAATAATTGTTTTCCCAAATTAATTAGTGTTTTTAAAAAAACTATAATGCTTTTTAATTATTAAAAATCGATATTATTATAAGACATAAGTAAGATTGAATGTGGTTTATAAAGGTGAAAGAATACGGGACATTGATTCACAACAAAAAAACACCAGAAATTCACTTGAACTGATCATCATGAAAAAAATAAGCATTCATTAGAAAATAACACATTAGACTGTCAGAGTATGGTTTAAGCTCTTACAGAAACCAGTTGATCTCACGTGATCCCATTTCTGGGTTCAGTGTTACAGTTGATCTCACGTGATCCCAATTTCTGGGTTCAGTATTACAGCTGATCTCACGTGATCCCAATTTCTGACTTCTTTAACTCAAGATATAACATTATTAAAGAAAGAGATTTTATATCAACAAATAGCCTCACCATTTTTATGAAACAAGCACTTGGAAACCATTGAGTAATAAATCTTGTTACTATAAAAAAAGGAAAGTAGTTAAATTGGGTGAGTTGAGTTTCCACTTTCTTTTCTTTATTGTGGTACTACATCCCTAAAAGAGGACTCAACCACCAATCAATCCTTTAAACCCTACCTCAACCATTGGCAATTTTAGGCCTATTCCTATATCTCTAGGGTTCCTTGTGGGATAGTTTTAAGGTTACCCCATTTTCCAAACCTAAAGTTTGAACACCCAAACTAATGTACAAGTCATAATGCATAAGTTACAAGTGAATGTAACAAGATTACTTCATCTTTAGCACTTACTTTTCTAAAACAAGCAACTACCCATTTTTCTTCCTAGTCCATCCACTCCATCTCCTTCATCTTTCTTCACATATCTTCCCTCTCTCTCTCTCTCTCTCTCTCACACACACACACTCTCTCTCTCTCTCTCTCTCTCTCTCTCTCTCTCATCCATCAAAGAGAGACCAACCTTTTTCTGGGTTTTTGCCTCTTTAGTAAGGTTGCTATTTCTTTCTTGAACAAAATCTCCTTGTAAGAGTTGATATATTTAGGTAAAGGTTATACCTTTACAACCTCTTTCTTTTATGGTACATGTAGAAATCTTGGACAAGAATTGATGTGGGTTTTTGAGGTGGGTGTTTGTTTGATTGATGGATCTTGATCATCACATAAAGATTCATCAACTTCTATGTGATATATACATATATATATATATATATGTATGTATGTGTGTATATATATATATATATATATGTGTGTGTGTGTGTGTGGGTGGGTGGGTGTGGGTTTCAGTTCTTGATCTCTCATCTTATCTCCAACCAATCCACTTCAATTCCCCCTCTTTCTTCTTCCATCTTTTTCAAGACTTGATGATTACTATTTGATCTCAACTTTTTCACACTCACACCCTTTTTTAACTTTGTTTCTGAATTAGGGTTTCTGAATTAGGGTATTTTGAAAGGTGAGTTTTTGAAGAAAAAGATTAGTGAAGATGGTGAGAGGGAAGACTCAGATGAAGAGGATAGAGAATGCTACAAGTAGACAAGTGACCTTCTCCAAGAGGAGAAATGGCTTATTGAAAAAAGCTTTTGAGCTTTCTGTGCTTTGTGATGCTGAAGTCTCTTTGATCATCTTCTCTCCAAGAGGAAAGCTTTATGAATTTGCAAGCTCAAGGTTCCATTTTTCTCCCTCAATTCCTCATCTTTTCTTCATTCTAATTTCTGGGTTCTTTTCATTTCCAAAATTCCAATTCTGGGTTTCAATCTTTTTTTTCATTTTATCCACTCATTTCATATATACATACACATATACATACATACATGTATATATATATATATATATACATACATACATGTGTGTATATGTATACATGTCTTGTACGATAAGTCATTAAACAAGATGGTAAAATGTTATCTTCTCGAATGTGCTTAATCGGATCTTCGAATAAACCAAACAAAAGGATCCAAGATTTTGGGGAAACTATTTTTGTTTCAATTTTTTATGAAATAATTACTCGATACGTAAAAATATCGAAATATTTTTGTGAATTCGATCTCGTTTGCCAATCTTTTTACCAATTTTTAAATTTATAAACAATTACAAGTAATTACTGGATACATAAAAATATCGAAACATTTTTGTGGGCTCGATCTCTCGCTGAACTTTTTACCGATTCGTGAATTTATAAACGAATCGAAGACCAAAGGAGAATACATACATATACATATATATATATATATATATATATTATATACATATATATATTATGTATATATATATATATATTATATATACATATATATATATTATGTGGACGTGGGAAGTGTTTTTTGTGAGACCCGTAAGACCAATTCTCAACCCTCGGATTAGATCTACAATCTTAACATTTATAATCACAAAATTATCACTAGACTTCTCAATAATCACAAAATTGTCACATGTGCAACTTTAAACCATTAGATTATTAACTTATAAAGTTAATCAATGAACATAAATCGGTCTTACGGGTCTCACGAAAAACCTTTGGTCTCACGTGAACCCAACCCTATATATATATATATATATATATAAAATTGGGAAGTGAAGTTAAACTGTTATAGTTGACCATATATATTATTTATTTATATTAAATTAATAAAAAAAGACTATATATTTATAAATTAATATTTTAAATAAAATTATATGATGATACTAGAATTGATTGACTCTTTGTCTGGTCTGTTTTCATAAATTAACTTGAAATGGTGTGTTTCATGTTCTTATGTGAAGAATGTCACAGCTTTTGCTTTTCTGAATTTACCATAAAAAGCATCCAGTTATAATTACTTCTTCATTTTTTTATTATTAATTATTTATTTATTGCATTTTTTTAATTGCTATTACTCAAAAATTATAATATAACTTTTTTTTCTATATTAAATTAAAAAATATTGAAATTGTTTTTCTAATCGTTGTCGTTAACATTTTGTATCAAGAAGTTCTCAACGATCGTTCTCTGTAGAATCAAGAAGCTTAATCAGTTAAGAACCTCACGTATTTGTGATAACCGTGAGAACTTTTACCTTAAGATATTGTTTCACGTGATTCTTTTATATCTAAGGCTAGCATTTAATGTATTGATTAACATATATTTGTTTCATAATGTGTTTGCTTCATATGTATTCGGTTTATGATGTGAACCATTTCTACATATAACTTTCCCTACTTTTACTCTGATGGTTTATCATAATTATCTTTTAATAGTTTCTTAATAATTTTTAACCATATATTTTTTAAAAACGATCTTTATTTAATTAAAATTAAAACCCTTTTCGAGAATCGGATCAAACTGTTTTTGTCAACCACGTTGATATCATTCACAATATGAAACAATGCACGTCAACGGTGTGAATCGATTGGTTTTCTCATTTTTAACCAAAGATCGTCTGCGTATCTGATTTAATATCACGTGTGTATCATATTGATGGACTAACAGTATCACATGTAATTAACTACACTAAAAGGGTGTCATCTCATTTTCGTAAAATGAAGGTTTTTTTCCCTATATGTGTGCGTGTGTGTGTATGTTCAGGTATAAGAAGACGGTCAATTTGTAAAATGTAATCACATATGATACAAACACGTAATCACATGTAATACAAACATGAACATGTTGCATTGACCTTGGTCGCGTTGACGAGGTCGGTTGCATCCCTTTTGAACGTGTTGTATTATATGTGATTTTACTTTATAATCGTATGTGATCTTGGAACTTGTCAAGTTCAGGTACTTGTAAATTGACCGACTTCTCACATGATATCTATAAATACTTTACGCACTTAAAATACCAAAAAGCTCCCATTTATGATTGAAATTCATACAAGTAGACATTTAACTTGAGATATATATAATTCATGGTTTTGAATTAATTTTTGGGGAAATGTACGTTTTATCGCGTTTTGAATTGAATCAGCATGCAGGAGACTATTGAACGATATAGAAGTCATGCAAAAGATGTTCAAACCGACAATTCATCGAGTGTAGAAGATGTTCAGGTTCGTAAATTAACTTCCAAAAACTAATCGATTTTCTTCATCATCTCATATATTTACATATATATTTAATCAACTGCAGTATTTGAAGCATGAAACAGCTACTATGGCAAAGAAGGTAGAACTCCTAGAAGTTGCAAAGAGGTGCTGATTAATTTTTATGGTTTAAATCATCCAAACATATATATATATATATATATATAATATATATATATATATATAGTCTAATCTATATATGCTTCTCAAGATATATTAACTAAAAGGGCTCATTATATATATATATATATATAGAGAGAGAGAGAGAGGGGGGGGGGGAAGTTCATGGGAAAATCCTAAAAGAATGAAAAACTGAGGGAAACTCAAGTAACCGTTCATCTGTAACAGTATGCATATGTGGATATAAGTAATTGAAGTTGTTTTTTGGTTTTTATACACGTGTGCATGTTATGCACATGTGCATACTGGTCAAACAATCGGTTACCGGGGTGTTCCAGTTTTTCATTTGTTTGTGGTTTTCCCCTCAACCTCACCTTATATATGCACACACACTCACACATATAGATATAGATATATATATATATAGAGAGAGAGAGAGAGAGAGAAACGAGGAGTGCAAATCATATAGGAACCATGAAAAGGTTACAATGTGTTATTTTACATGACTCTTTTTCATTAAAAACCAGGATTTATATAAGTTATTGATGAACATACATTTGTTTCACAATATGAAACCTTTTTTACGTGTTTGTGAAACAAAAAGTACACGTAAAATGGAGTTTGACATCGTGAAACTAATACATATGAAACACATGTATGTATATATGCATGTATTCTGAAGATCAAAATGGGTACTGATCTATTTGTAATGCAGGAAACTTTTGGGAGAAGGATTAGGAACAAGCAGCATTGAAGAGCTGGTTCAGATAGAACAGCAGCTAGAAAGGAGTGCATGCATTGTTCGAGCCCGAAAGGTTTAGAATTTACGAACAAACCCTTTTCGTTCTACTTAATCAGGTGTCGATTCTAGGGTTATTTGTGGAATCTTTCAACACCCTTCTTAATTTGTTGCATATTTGATGGTCTAGATGCAAGTTTATAATGAACAGATTCAGCAACTACAAGCAAAGGTACTGCTCAAGATTCCTAAATCTAGAAATATATCATCAATGTACAAGTTTCACTGCACCGTGTACAAGTTCCGATAGCAATAAAAGGAAAAAAAGCAGATTTTTAGAAACTAATTGTTTTTGTTTATATGGAAATATATGTTCAGGAGAAAATGTTAGCAGCTGAAAATGCAATGCTTAATGAAAAGGTCAGCAGTTACTTCTGTCTGCATACTTGCTGTATACGGTATTATGATATGTGAAACCCCTTTAAATCTATCTGTAAAATGCTAAAAGAGCTCTTATAGAGATATGAGAGATTCCTATATGTATGTATATATATATATATATATATATATAGAGAGAGAGAGAGAGAGAGAGAGAAAAGTTCAGTTGCAAACCAATTTTGGTTGTGAACCGGAGGACAAAGAAGAGCGTGACACGTGTCAGCATTTGTTCATACATATTCATGATGAATAATGCACGTAATTTTTTACAACATTCATTCAAGATGAATATTACACATATTCAAGATGAATAATGCACCGTTCATTGATGAATATCACGTGAACGTGTGGGACAGGTGACACAGTCTCCTTTATCCCAGTTCACAACAAACTTACCCTATATGTGTGTGTATATATATATATATATATAGACTTGGGATCATGTGAGACCAAGGGTTTTTCGTGAGACCCGTAAGACCAATTCTCAACCCTTGAATTAGATCTACAATCTGAACATTCATAATCACAAAATTGCCACGAGACTTCTCAATAATCACAAAATTGCCACCGTGCAACTTTAGACCATTAAATCATTAACTTATAAAGTTGATCAATGAACATAAATTGGTCTTACAGGTCTCACGAAAAACCCTTGGTCTCACGTGAACCCAACCCTATATATATATATATATATATATATATATATATGATGGTCTATTTCTAGCTGGTCTATAGAAGATTATAACTTTGCATATTTTTCTTCATTATCTCCTCATGTTTCTCACAGTTTATGAGAACTGTATTTATAGATATGATAATATGTGAAACCCCTTCAAAATCTCTTGGTAAAAGAGCCCTCAGATTCTTATATATACATACATATATATATATATAGGGACAGGTTCAAGAAAACCCCAAAAAAATGAAAAATCGAGGAACACCCTAGTAACCATTCATCTGTACGGTATACACATGTGCATACAAATAATTTGTTCAGTATGAAACCAGGAAATATCTTCAATTGCACATTGCACGTGTACATACCTTACAAATGAACAGTTATTTAAGTGTTCTTCAGTTTTTCATTTTTTGAGGGTTTTCTTCTGAACCTCACTCTACATGTATGTATGTATATGTGTGTGTGTGTATATATATATAGGGTTGACGGTCTGTTTCTAGCTAATCTATAAAAGATAATAACTATGCTTATTTTTTCCGTTTCAGTGCCTAGTCCAAACGGACCAGGTAACAGCAGAAATAAGAGCGGATTCACGGATAATAGATAATGGAGAGAACTCCGATGTGGAAACAGAATTGTTCATCGGACCACCCGAGAGGAGAATCAAGCAACGATGGCTGAAGTAGTCGTATGATATATATATATACACATATATATATATATAAATTTATCAAGATTACGTATGTTACCGATCTTATCTACGTACGTTAGTTGAGATGCGCGTGTTTTACGCATACGGAATGTTGTTTTGCAACAAAATATTCATCCAAGGGAAGTCTAGATATCAAACCTAATTAAGCTACTACTTCTGTGGTTAGAAAATTATTGTACATGAGTTAATGACCATTTGAATCCTAAGAAGACTGTTTCTGGTCACATGTGTTCTTTTTATCTTGAATTCTTGATATTGTTTAAGCTTATGTTTCGCAAACTAGCTCTTAGCTGACAAGTTAGTCATATCTGGTAAAAAACAAGGTTCGAAATCGAGTGAGGCGTGGTCTGGAGGTCAAGCCTCAAGCCTTACATGCCATGGCGAGAATGCGGTTTTTTTTAAGACGTGACATAAAGCGAGAAATTTTTTAAGACGTGACATAAAGAAAAAACATCTGGAGCTTATTGAAAAGCTATAAGAACTATGAACTAGTTTTTAAAAAGTTGGCTTATGGTTACTGAACATTTTTTCAGTCTGCTCGGCGTTAAATACAGTTTTAGGGTTTTGTCTGTCGTTATGCCTTAAGGCATGGTCACCAAGCTTGTTTTCATGGACTCGACTCGAGGCTTCTCAACATCGATAAATATAACATGTTTTCGTTCAAACTTTTAGTATTCTGTTATTGGGTTTAGTTTTCTTGATGTTTAAGATAATGTCGTTATGGGTTTTTGTTTGTGCTTTTTTAGGATAAATATACGTTGTCCTTTTCATGTTTCTTTCATGTTCCATCAATCACGTGAATACACATCAAGGTTTTATTTAATTCATGTTTAACATTCTCTTGATGATGATGTGTATTCATGTGATTGGTGGACACGAATGGAACATGGAATTTTGGGACAACAGGTTTTTATTCGTTCTTGGAAAATGCAAAAAAAGAAACTTGTTTTTTCCAAGAACGAGAGATTTTGAACAAAAAAAAAATCAAGTTTGATATTTCTTTCTCGTATATACATTTCTACCCGTTCTAACTCTAGCAAAATTGTTACGTTTTCTTTTATATTTTCGTTAGGAGCGATTTCATTCCAAAAAATCAAATATGTTAATTTATGAAGTCAAAGAAACGATTTTTTTCGTGTTGGTCAAAAAATCTTCAAGAAAATGCAATACTAAATAAAAGACTTTCGTCTACAGACCTTTTCCTGGGAAATATGTCGCTAAAAGGGTAATTCGTCACAAAACCGTCCCAAAAGTTGGTGGGTAATTCAAATCAGTGAGAGATTACCCGGAGATTCTTTGGGTGATCCATTGGTATTTTCTCGAAAAAATAGAATTCTACCGAATCATTGGTATTTTCTGGGTAATCCGTCAGCAATCACCGACAAAAATTTACCTGAGTGATTTATGTGGGTAAAAGTCATTTGTTTTGTAGTGATGGTTTACAAAGTTTCGAGTATTCAACGTCTGTGAGCTCCCATGAAATGCTATTTTCATGGCAGTACCTAAAGCATCTCCAACACATTCTCAAAAATAAAGAATTTGGGGATTTTGAGCAAGTTTTTTGATCTAAAGCATGAGAGAGGGTCTAAAAATCTCCAATTTTTAGAACTCCCAAAAATAGTTACGAGAAATATTTTTTTATTACCATCAATAAGAAACATTTGAAGGAGGTTAGGGGTTCAAGGTGTGTGAGTTTATTTGTTGCATTTACCGTATATAAATATTATATACTTCAAAAAAAATTGAACTTAAATATTTAGGAAAAATAAATAATATTTTATTAAATGTATGAATACTTTAATAGTATAACTATTGCTGCAAATCTCCAAAACGGAGAACTTGTTGGAGTTGAATGTAATTTTTTTATTCTTCATTTTGAAGAATCTGTTGGATGCTCTTATAAACCAGACCAACCAAATTTGAACCAGCCCAGTATATATGTATTAAAAAGTAGGGTTTGGAGATAACATGTACCCATAAATGCTATTTTCAAGGTAGTATGTCTAACCAAACAAAAGCAAAGCAAACATGGTATTTCACCCGAAAGTAGGTCTGGGGCGGGAAGCACGCGTAAAATGCTATTTTTGTTGTAGTATGTATAAACTAGACCAAACCAAAACGAACTCAGGTATATCTCACTTGAAAGTAGGGTCCGATGGGTGGAATGCATGTATAAATGTTGTTTTCAATGTAAATTTTATTTTCATAGTCCTATGTATAAACCAAATAAAACTAAACCAAACCAAACACAAACACAGTATAACCACTCGAAAATAGGATACAAGAACTCGGACGTATGCAGACATGTCCTTTACCAAAAGGATATATCATATTAGTATATATAGACGAAGGATCGTGTGAGAACAGTAGTTAAAGTGAGAACTGTAAGAAGAGATTTGGACCCTTGATCACTTTTAATTAGTATTGATCTAATGGTTCAATTTAAGTCCCAAAATAACCCATGAATTAGCTTAAAAGGGTATTTTTAATTGATCTTCCATTAGAATTGATCCAAGGGTGAAGATCTCTTCTTACTCTTCTCACCATAACTTCCATTCTCATTAGAACCCAATCCCCCCCTCTCTCTATATATACACACATACACACACACATCTCATGGTAGTACATATATATTCATAAACGAAGAAGATGCATATTAACATGGAAGGCACAACTTTCGTTAGGCTCGGAATGAAAGCAAGTGCACAAAAAGACATCTAGATTTTACGGATGAAGATTTTCTTTTAAAAGCTTTTCGATTTATAAATTTAGTTAAGAAAGTAAGTATTTGATAGAAATCTAACTTGTATGACAAAAATGTCGAACGTGTTCAAGCCACGGCCTCGTGGTGCAACTTCCTTTGTTAGCAGGCACCTTTCTTTGTCGATTGATAGTGCCATAGATGTATGTAAACGTTAGTTCATCCCTCGGGTAGCATTAATCCTGAGATAGGGAGAAAAAGAAATGGATCAAAAAATGGTTCTTAAATATTGGTACCAATGATCACCACGTATTTTTGAAGTATATAATATTTATATATTACAAATAAACTCACACACCCTCTTTACTTTTAGTGAGGTTTGAACCGTGACCTCATGGGAAGTTGGACTCTGCCTGTAACCCAAATACCACTAGACCAAAGGCCCTTTGGTATTATCACCATATTTTAAGAACAAAACTTCAGGAAAACCAAGTTTTTTTACTTCAGGTGTGTATACGCCCCACCCACCCACCCACCCAACCCTGACCCTATTTTTGAGCGTGATTTACTGGGTCAGTTTGGTTTAGACGGTTGTTTTACCTAACAATAGAATATTTCACTTGATATCTAAACAGTGCAAATCCAAGGGCATATAAAAAATAAACAAAAACGAACCCAGTAAATCCAAACTGAGTAGGGTTTGGGGAGGGTAGGATGTAGGCAGAAAGGTTGTTTCCATACAAACCTTGTCTTGCTAAACAGATCATGGTTTTATTGCTAAAAATATGATTATTGTAGGTTATGAAAATCTATGTTCGGAGAAAAATGAACATGGAACCTACAAAAACAAGAATCGGAAATGTAGGGAAATTGATGTTGGTTTAAGAAAATTTGGTTTTCAATGGGTGATATAGAAACATGTAGTCTAAATTGTGAAACTGGTTTCAAGAGATTTGGGGGAGGAATATAACCTCCATCGTTTGGTACGTGGAACAACGTGAGACAGTACATAAACTTGTTGTCTCACATTTGGCGTGATAGTAAAACGGGATAGGAGAGGACCTGAGTGGAACAAAAATACTTTTGTTATGTCCCACCAGAAGAAGAATAGGTGGAACAAAAATCATGGAGATAGACAAGATTGGTAAATTTAAACTAGCCATGTCAAATTAAAACCCTACAACCTTCCACAATTCTTTCACCAGTCCTATCCAGTCCCATCTATTTCTACCCAGTCTCGTTTGCATACCAAACACAGAAGCTTGGTCAAGACAAAATCGATATTTTTCCATCTACATTTCCTCAAGTTCCATAGACAAGCAAGTGAAAAAGTATAAAAGATGAAGCAACCTTCATGATATCGGCTTGATCCCAGATGCTCACGATGCCTTCAACCGAAGGCCAGAAAGCAATCATCAGGTTATTCTCATAGAAGAAAATGCAGCCTGCCATTCTTTGCAACTTCCATTACAGCTAGATCAGCTCATATACAACTTCTGATGGATCCATGGTGAAAGATTTCTTGACTGTATGAAGAACAAAAGACCATAAGAACATTCTTTCATTTTTCAGCCATCAAATATCATCTTTATATCCAATATTTTTTGTAGAAAAAGTGGCACAAATCTTTCTGCAACCTCATTGATTCATAAGTTTCAATCAGAATTACTTATATCAATGTCAATGCTTGTTCTTTGATCAGAAAAAAAAAGCCTATACAATCAAGTTCAATATTCATTGATATTCAAAAAAACAAAATTCCCCATAATATGATCTAACTTGAGTCATCTTGGAGAGTTAAATACAAGCATTTGACCATAAAAACCTTTGTGTCATCTTACAGTCAACCAAATTTATCTGGTATGACATTTGATTATCTCTCAGGCATATAAACAAACACATAGAGGGTGTATTTTATCGAAGGCATCCAACAAATAAATCGAGACACAAACAGGGTATAATTTATCGAAGGAAGGGGGGAAACAGAGATTTAGGATATGAAAAATGAGAAATACCCGTTTGAGCTCTGGGACTCCAGGATAATTGATCAGAGTTCTTGCGACGCTTGAAGCTACTACCCCTGTTGAATCGATTGAAAACAACCAAGAACCAACATGCCATCTAGTTACTACTGAAAAATTTGGACTCTGTTTGATCCATTTTCAAGATAACTAATCTGAAACCAGAGAAGTTAAGTCGAATGAGGAACAAGAAGAAGAAAGGAAATGCGTTAATGGAGTTTGATTAGTCTTGAATGTGTACATGTATCGACAAATTGAAAAAAGAACGATGAACCCTTTGTAATTATGGTGTAAACGTTACCAAATCTTTCTATGGGTGTTGGATCCATTGAAGCGTTCTTCTTCTGATCCATGTTCGCTTTTGCTCAAGGTTGGGGGTTTTCTCAACTCTGGCGAACAGATTGCAGATATTTGAATTGTACCCTGTTGCTGATACGACAGGACGTGACAGTGTCTGCTGTAAGGGGCTTTTTGATTGACTAATTATAGCGGGTACCGTAATAAGCAATCTTTTAAGTGTTTGGAAAATTGTTTATATCGATGTCAAACCGGTAATAAGCAGTTTCTTATAAGAAGGTATTTGAGATTGCTTATTTAAAATAACTTGTGTCTTTTTTGCAAAAGTGTTTATTAACTTATGTCGCGTTAAACCGGAGTTTTATAAAAAAAATGTTTAGATTAGCTTATTACGGTACCAAAACATAATCAGCTGATAAGTTGTTTTTTAGTGTTAATTTTGCTTATACAAGCAAAATGACCAAAAAGGTCATTTTTTCATATTATTGACTTATATGGAATGTTTGGGATTGTTTATTTGCTTATTAACTTATTTGATTTTTTAACATGTAAAAATTTATTTTTCATCATTTATAATAATATTATTAACAAAAATTTATATCAATAACATTAATAATTTATAACAAAAAAATAACTTAAATAACAAAAAATGTATACCAATACCATTAATAAAACTCCGTTATTAATACCATTAAATAACACTAAAAAAAAACTTATCAGCTTATTGCGTTTTGGTACCGTTATAAGCTAATCCAAACATTTTTTATAGAACTCCAGTTTGACACCACATAAGTTAATAAGCATTTTTGCAAAAAAAAAAAAAAAACACAAGTTGATAAGAGTTGTCGCCCTCACTTACTGGGTAAGACTCTTGATTCTTGTCACGCTCTTACCGGGTAAGATTCTTAGTCCTTACTATATTCATTCAATGAGACAATGTGACTTAGTAAACGCTTACCCAGGTAAGCGTTTGGTAAACGGCCCCTAACTATAAAATGAAGAAAGACGTGGAACTTGGCAAGTTTGGTCAATTTCTCGTACAATAACATCCCGTCGGCTACTTCTTTTTCTTTCTAATTTGAGACAAATATTTGTAGAGCATTTGAGGTTCTTATAAGTCACTATTATAATAGAGGGTTTTTATTAGACATCGAAATGGGGCGGGGACCCCAGTCGCGGTCCTCGATCCCCAATCTCTATCCTGTTGGGGAATATGATCACATATCCACATCCCCATCCCCGTTTCCAACGGGCATGAGGGATTTTATTTCGTTGTATGTGAAATGTTTTAAATCAAATGTGTTAAACACTACATTCGAGCTAAAATGATCCATGTTTAAATCTCACATATATCCAAATTTTGCTTTTATGGAATATCAAATATTCATATGTGAACAGAATCACAACATCATACGTAATAAGAAGAAATGTCAAAATTAAGAAGAAATGTATATAAGAAGAAAAAAAGGTAAGACGATCGTGACGAGTACACCAAGATCCTCAATAAGACGGGTTGTGACGACCAGGGCAGGAGATTCTCCGTAATTTTGTTTTTATGGAGTATCTAAAAAAAGTAAGATTAGTTATAAAAAATGTATATAAGAAGAAATGTCAAAATACTCCTTTTAAATATAAAGGATACTAAATCTAATTCTTTATAAATAATATATTCGATATATGGGGACGACACGTGTCAGATATCACGTTACTTGACTTTGTCTCCATATCTGGTTTTTAACTTCTGGGGATCCCCGATCCCCGATTTTATGGAGAATCTCCGGCCCTGGTCGTGACGAGTACACCAAGATCCTCAATAAGACGGGTCTCATTTTCATGCCTAATATTTATAAATCACCAACATATTTTGAGTTTTTTGTATTTTGAATGTCTCAATTATTGTATCAAATGTGATTGTATCTCTCTCTCTCTATATATATATATATATGGGCATGTTCAAATGAAAACCGTGTATTTCTAAGAAACCGTGTAAATCAATTTCGACCGATAGGAAAATTTCTTTTTTTTTAAATTAAATTTAATCAATAAGGGTATTTCGGTCATTTACAATATTTTCTATTAAATATGGAAGTTATTAATAAATCTTAATTAAAGAAACGTAATAAAGAAAATTGTATAAATGGTAACATTTAAATATTTAATTATATTAAAATATTAAAAATTTGGATTTCATATATTGTCATGAGTTATAATAAAGAAATGTGTCTTGATGAAACAATTGAATTATAGAATGAAATCATCAAAACGTAGATGAACAAAAAAAATTCCACAAAATGAAACAGGTTTCATGAACGTGAAACCGATTCATGTTGCAAAGAAATTAGGTGAACCCAAACATTTTTATGGTGAAACCGTTGCATTGATGGTGTAGTTTATCCATTTTGTTGATGAAAAGAAAAATGAAACCGGTGCATTTTGAAAATAAATTATGAAAAGGAAAATGAAACAGGTTTCATGAACGAAGTGCATAATGAAACGGGAAAATAATTTTAATCTGCTACATAATCTTGAAGATTGTAACTTGCTCCAGAATCTTCAAGATTGTAAGGACTAAAGGAATGATTCCATCAAATCGGTGGTGATATAAGAAAATTACTGTACATGAAATAGTTTCCATGAAAGTGAAACTGGTTCATGGCAGTATTGAGCCTGATAAGTGAAATTGTTGCATAAGTGAAACAATTTCATGTTGTATTATAAACTTTTATGAAGTCAGTAATCGATGAAAAAATTTCGTTATCCAAGTGTAACGGATCCATCTACCAGTATAATGAAAATTACGAAATATGATCAGTATTACATGGATTAGTCTGTTGATTAAATTTTGAAACCAATTTCGTTCGTATAATGTAATTCAAACTTTAAAACAATTCACTCCATATAATTGAATATGGTGTGTTATATTCATTTTTTTTATATGTTTTATTGATGGATGTGATTTAAAGTTAAAAATAATATATTGCTTTAAAAAATGAAAATAGTGTCATTAATATCGAAAAGAATGTTACAAAATGTTAAATTTTGTTTACCATTTTTGCCCTTATTGTTGAAATAAAATAAATTTTTAATATACATTTTTTTAATTTCCTAAAATAAAGTAAACTAATCTTGGTCATTGATCAAGAAAATGGATG